CTTTGCTAGTCTCTTCCTACTTCTCTGACCACTCCTCAGTATACTTGGCTGGATCTTTATCCATGTCATACTCTGATAGTGGGTCCCCAAGGTTCTGCACGAAGCCCTCTTTTCTTCTCTCTATGCCATTTCACTTGGTCATCTCATCCACTCCCATTGTTTCAAAGGTCATCTCTATGCAGATGGCTCTCAGATCTACTAGTCCAGCCCTAACTCTTTTCCTGACCTCCAGTCTCACTTCTCCAATTGCCATTTAGACATCTAGAACTGGATGTCTTATAAACATTTTAAACTCAACATGTCCAAAACTGAACTCATTATCTTTCCTCCCAAATCCTCCCTTTTTAATAACTTTCCTACTACTGTGACACATACCACTAACCTCTCAGATTCCCAGGCTTGGAACCTGGGGCTCTTTCTCAACTTCATATTCAATCAATGGTCAAGTTTTCTTGTTTCCACCTTTGAAAACTCTCTTCTGTGTAACCCCTTCTCTCTTCTGATGCTGCCACCAAGTACAAGCCCTCATCACCTCAATCTGGACTATTTCAATAGCTTTCTGGTTCATCTCCCTGCCTCCTTTCTCCTCACTCCAGTCCATCCTTCATTCCATTCAGCTGTGAAACTAATCTTCCTAAATCATGGGTCTGATCATATCACCCCTCCACTTAATCAACTTCATCGACTTCCTACTCCAGGATCAAATATAAAGCCCACTGTTTGGCTTTCATAGCCCTTCCAACCCTGATCCCTACCCCCACCGGTCTCCAGTCTTCTTATCCCTTATTTCCCCTCCACATATTCTGTGATCCAGTAACACTACCCTCCCTTCTGCTGCTTGTACATGACATCCTTCTTCATAATCCAAATATTTTCAGTGGCTCTCCCTTGCCTAGAACACTCGCCACCATTTTTCTCCCTCTTGGGTTCCCTGGCTTCCTTCAGGTCTCAGCTAAAGTCCTGCCTTCTACAAGAAGTCTTTCCCAGTCCTCCTTAATCTTGGTGCCTTCTCTCCGAGACTACCCCCCAATTTGCCCTGTATATTATCTTCATACCTAATTGTTGTCTGTCCCATTTAGACAGCTCCTGGAGATGAGGGATTGTTTGCTTTTTGCCTTTCTTTGTGTCCCCAGAACTTAGCCCATTGCTTGGCTGTGACTTGGCACAGGTAGACACTTAATAAATACTAGTTGCCTATTTGTATCTTCAGAATTAAACACTGTGCTTAGCATGTTATCAGCACATAATAAATGCTTGCTAACCGATTAACCTGTGCATTTATTAAAACCTTTTAGGGAAGCAGTTCAGAGTGTCAACGATGAGGAATAGAATGCCTTAGGTTAGTGAGCCAATAACCATTTATTAAGCATCTACCAAGTGCCAGGCACTAGTTCAATCACAGGGGATATACAGAAAGGTCAAGGAGTCTCTGCTTTCAAGCAGCTCAGTCATATGCTTCCCTGCCTTGGGCCCAGCTACACAGTTCTCCTAATGTGGCCAGACCACGGTGTAGCACACACTACTTCAGAGTCAAGGTTCCCAAGACGTGAAAGGTCAAATCCTAAATAATGACAGTGGATTCTATCCCTAACATGGGTAAGTCAATAAGGTATAAGCCTTGGACCAAAGGTTCATGCCCCCATATCCAAGCAGTTACCAACTCTTATCTCCACATTTTCGCCTCTTTGTTTACCCTGAACACTTTTCTTTCTTTCTTTCTGGAGGCAATTGGGGTTAAGCGACTTGCCCAGTGTCACACAGCTAGTAAGTGTCTGAGGCTGGATTTGTACTCAGGACCTCCTGACTCCAGGGCCAATGCTCTATCCACTTCCACCTAGCTGCCCCCACCCCCCCAACACTTTTCAAATACTATCCAAATGAGTCTCCCTGCTTCCAGTCTCTCACTGTCTCCAATCTATTTTCCCCATAGCTGCCAAAATAATTTTTTTTTTTTTTTTTTTTTGCTTTTTGGTGAGGCAATTAGGGTTAAGTGACTTGCCCAGGATCACACAGCTAGTAAGTGTCAAGTGTCTGAGGCCGGATTTGAACTCAGGTTCTCCTGACTCCAAGGCCAGAGATCTATCCATTGCACCACCTAGCTGCCCCCAAAATAACCTTCTTTAAGGCTCAGGTGTGACCATGTTAATCATTCCTCTGTTCAAAAACTTTGGGCAGCTCAGTTACCACTGGGATTGGGATTGATGCTAGGGGAAGACGGCCTCCTTGGAGAGTTTAAAAGCAGAGCAATTCAACAGGAGTTGGTGGAGGAGAGATTCTCTCTCTTGAGGATGAGCTACACCTTTTCCCTTATAAGGCACCTCCAGGTGTGGGAGGGAAGGGAATTTCTCTCTACTGTGATATCTTGCTGAAGTAGCATAGGACCAAAGGAGGAATAGTTGTTGAGCACAGTCTAGAATCAAAGGTTCCTAAATTTATTTGGCCTACTTCCCCCTTTAAAAATATTTACTCAGCACAGCCCCTCTCTGGAAAAATACTTTCTTTAACCCTTCAAATTTTTTTAAAAATTTGAGTCATTTCAAAAAAATATACACATTTTTGAAATGATGCATCTTAAATTTAATTATTGTGAATCTGTGTTGTTTTCCTGTATTGAAATTTTGATGATGCAATATTGTGTCATGCAGCCATAAAGTATCATATTGTAAACAAGTCATCACATGAACATATTCTTGCCAACGCATGCTGGACTTCCCAACAATGCACGGCATGCTCACCTGCCAACACTTGCTTGTTAAGACCTGTCAGCGGACTTGACCACTGACTGGCTATAACTTGCATTTTGTGTGTTTATTTGGGAAACAATGTAATCACTATGCCTTTAACTCTGTTACACAACAGATGAAACATGTACAAATGGTTTTCCAAAATTCTTTTCTTCTTTCCTTACACTTCCACTGCCCACTTATTTTTATTCAATGCCCCCCAACTGACCCAAGGCTACTACTGCCCCCCCTGCCCCATCACTGCAGCAGCCCCCGGGCGTGGTACCATCCATTTTGGGAACCTCTGATGGCGCCTAGAAGTGGCAAGCTCTAGAGCCCAGTTTGCGGCTAAACCTAAAATGTGGTTCCAGTTCTTTGCAACAACGCACAGCAGTATTCAAGGCTTGGATGTCAGCTACACTTGAAGCTGGAAATGGTAGAGGCCACATCCAAGCAGTGGAGCCATGTGCCAAGCCAAGAGCAGGCCCAGAGATCCTCAGGGCCATTCCCAAGAATAGCCCAAGGACATTACAAGAGTGTCATCAGGAACACCCTTGGTACCAAGAGTGACCATTGGCTTGGCCACTATATTTCCTATGCGTGTGCCCATCTACTTGACAACTCTATGTGCTCACTCCTCCTACTGACGCTGCCTATTTGTGGGAGCTTGCACCCTAGGTATATGACTAGGTAGAGATATTTCTTGTTCTTACATGCCATTTCAGTAAATTACTTAACTGTCCTCTGCCTGATTAGAGTAAGGTCCACACACCAGGGAGGGTCAGTGGACTGTAATTTGAGGAGTAAGGACCACTGAGTACCTGGAATCTGGGTTCCCTTGGGGGAGACAGAGGAGGTGCTTCCCATATCTGTTTAATCTTAATTTATATAGTCCCCTTCAACACTATGCCTCAAGCCAAGCTAGATTATGAAGTGTTCCCTTATCTTCTGCCTCTGCATTGGGTCAGGCCTCTGTCCTTGGCTTGTGTGTGACCCCCTTCTTATCTCCGCCTCTCAGGCCCAGCTCAGATGCAGGTGTTGTTAATATTCCCTCCCCAATATGCTACCCTCCCAGTAGAATAGAAGCCCCTGAGAGCAGGAACTGTCCTGTTTCTAACTTTGTGTCCAGATTTTAGAGATTATCTGGGCTACCCCCAAGGCCAAGGAAAGTTAAGTCATTTTCTTTCCCGAGGTCCCACGGTAAGTAGCAGATCCAGGACACTTTCCACTTTACCAGACTGACCCCTCATGTCTGAGCATGTCTACATGCATCCCCAAACCACAGACACATCTTTTGGAGATTTGTCATTGTCCCTCTTTATGCCTCTTTTCCTGCTCCATTACTGGGATGATCCTTGTAATTCCAGGAGAATAAAAACTCATTTTTATAGCTGTATTGCTGGCACTTAGCACAATGCCTTGCACTTGACTGAGAAGGAAAGGCTATGGAAGGGATCCCTTCCAACCCCCTATAGTTGTGTTTGAGGCTTGTCACCACTGAGACAGCTGGCCCCAGGCACAAGACCAGATTTACAAAAGCCCAGAGTCCCAGTTCATCAGTTGGCCCAGGCAAAGGAGATGATAAATTAAGGACAGGAGAGACACCAGTGATGGAAATGAAGATTCCATTCCTCGGGCTGTGAGGAAGGTTCTCCAGAAGCCCCACCAGGCGGCATCTCCCCATACATAGGACAGATGTAATACTGCCGACCAGCTGTGATTGTGTTTATCACTTCAATTAGACTATAAGCTCCATGAAGGTAGGGCTTACTTAAGCACTGTATCTCTACCAGCCCCTAGCTTAGTGCTCAGCACACCACAGATCCTTAATAATGCTACTGAATAAAAGAATAAATGAAGGAAGGAATGAAGGATAAGACGGTAATACTGAACTGCAAGCTCTGTGGTATCTCTAGAGTTTAACAAATGTGACGAAGCTTTCACTGAATCTTCATTTCCTTTTGGGGACAGGGAGAAGAAAGGGCCACTGAATGGAAAGTGGTTGAGGGCCTGTTATCCTCTTTAGATAGCCTTTCTGGGGATCTGGCTGAGGACAAGTGAGATCATTAGAATCAAGACTACCTAATTTTAAAGCTGAAAGGGACCTTAGTTGTCAGGCCTGGGGGCCTCTTGGTTAAGAAAGAAAAGTTTCATACAAATAAGCAGGGTGATGCCTTTTGTTTTTCCCAAAAGATCATCTCATGGAACCATCAGGCTGAAATCGATGCTTTATGTGAACACAATGGAAGGCTGGAAAGAACACATACTAAAGCATCCTTATGTATACACAAAACACATTTAATAAGAATGTAGTTACCTCCTGTGCATTACAGGCAAAAAGCAGTCCCTGCAGTGCGTTTTTCACCCAAACCTGCCCCAGGCTGGGGGGTGGGATGTCCTGGGAGGCTGACAGACTGTCCACCCCCCAGCCCTCAGGTGCTTCCCGAGACACCACCTCTCTTCTGCTTGTGCCCTTTCTTTATCCCAGGGGCTGCATGCGCATTTCTGTGGCAGTCAGTACTTTTCCTTTGTCTCCTCAGCTCTGAGTTTCCTGAGAAGCCTTGTATCTCCTGGTCTTCCTGAAACCACACATGACCTCAGGAAGCCATAAGCACCATCTAAATTTCTATATGTTTTGTGTTGTTTTTTCCCTGAGAGAGAAGCCAGCCCTTCAGGAAACACCAAAGATAGGACCTATGGTGGGGAGGGGCTGGCGAAAGGCCAGAATGGAAGTTAGAGGGTCAGAGGCAGAGAAAGGGGCCCAGATGTATGGGTCAATTGTCCAAATGATGAGTTTCTTCAAAAATCAGTTAGCTCTATGCCTGTTTCACGGAAATCACTGCAGAGCCCACAAGTAAATGAAAACTTCAGTCTCCTTAAATGAGTCTTTATAATTCCCACAAAATCTCTTCCCTCTCCCACCCTACAAACAATTCGGAATATTAGATCTTCTGATTAATTTACTTTAGATTTTTTTCAGGTGTTTTAATCCTCTCTTTCTTCTCTTTGTTTTTATGGTTGAAATACTCACCTAACATTTGCTTTAGAGTTCAGTCACCTCCAAGAGGGAGTTCCCTAAAACAAGGACTTTCCCCTTCTCTTCCAGCATTTAGACTCTGGGTAGTATGTGGGAAGGTGGTCCCATATTCCCCATCTTATCTGTCAGTTAGAAGACCTAAGCCTATAAATCAACGGAGAGGAGAGTCCTTTCTCTGTACCCTGCCCCTCTGTGAACAAAGTAAAGGAGTTCAGGGAAGAGAGCCAGAGATGAGTCCCAAAGCCCTGACAGAGGAACTCTTGCCCAGGAAGGGGATGAGGAGAGAGACCTGGTTATCAGTTCTATCCAGGTCTTGATGCCTCAAGTAATTTCCCAGGAGGCTGGGGCAGCAGATCTGGCTCCCCAGTGTATGTTTTGCCATCCGATGAACAAGCAGGCCTGACTTCTTCTCACATCCATGATGTCATGGGTAACAGCTCTGTCCTTTTCTGCAAGTGCAAAGGGAAATTCAAGTTTTGCTAACAATCTGATCCAAGAACAATGGAAGCTCTAACCTCCCAATGAGTCTGAGGAGAAATCACTCTGCCTTTTCCCCATGGTTACCTCAGGTTTTTGCCCAGACATATAATAACCTGACTTATTAAATACAAACCCACGTGTCTCCCAGAGAGGCTGGGGCCCAGCCTTACCCTACACTGTCATCCCAAATGTCCAGCTGCCAGCTCATACATTATTTCTTTGCAGTGCCTCACAAAGGTTCTGATTGGCATCTGGCTCCTCAGTCATGACTTCCACAGTCTCCCATTCCCCAGACCTGCTGGATTTCTTTATGGCATCAACCACACTCTGCATGTAAAGCCCATCCTCAAACGAGGCTGCCATGGAGACTGGCTTATAATCCCAGGTGCGATGGTCATCTTGCTCCTGAAATGACTGGCGCAAAGCCTGCACCATGTATACCATGCCTTTCAGGTACAGCAAGGGAATGTCTTTAAATCCCTTTTCTAGAAGCCCTGCATTGATTGTCAAAGAGTCTGTGAGCAGCTGTTCCTCCTGGAGCTCGGTACTCTTCTGTCCATAGAGGTCAGATCCTCGGGCTATGAGGCGACCAGCAGACCCCACAATCATGACTTCGTGCACAAAGGAGCCTGGCATGTTGAAGTTGAGAGTTACTGTGCTACAAACACCCCCATTCATAAGCATCTGGAAAAAGCAGAAGTCATCACTGGTGACATGCCGGATCCCATTAATCTCGGCATTCTGTTTCACAAATGTCTTCAGAAAACCATGGACTTTCTCAGCCTTCCTCCCAGTTAGGTGGGTTAAGAGGTCAACAATATAGGTGCCCATTGTGTGCAGACCACCGCCCCCCATGTGCTCATCACAGATCCAGTTGTACTTTTGGCTAAGCAGGCTGCCCCAGTACACACGCACATCACAGATCATCACATTGCCAATGTAATGCTCTTCAATAAGCTGCTTCATCCGAACAAAGGCAGGCAGGAATCGAAGGACATTCCCCACAAGACTCATAAGTTTGGGGTAGTAGCGTGCCGCTGTTACCATCCTGAAGGCATCCACGGAGGTTGCTGCTTTTTCACAGATCACATTCTTTCCAATACCTGAGGACAAGATAGAACAGGAAACCTGAATAGGTAATTTGGGAACTGCCAGGAAAACCATTCTGATTTCCTATGTAAGACATAATGGTTCTGCTCACTTCCCAGCTTTTTCTGAAGCCATCCTGCTTGTCATTTCTTATAGCACACCACTACTCCATCACAATCATATACCACAACTTGTTCAGCCATTCCCCAATTGATAGGCATCCCCTCAATTTCCAATTCTCTGCGACCACAAAAAGAGCTGCTATAAATATTGTTGTACATGTAGGTCCTTTTCCCTTTTCTTTGAGCCCTAGTAGTGGTATTGCTGGGTCAAAGGGTATGCGGAGTTTTATAGCCCTTTGAGAATAGTTCCAAATTGTTCTCCAGAACCCCACCAACAAAGCATTAGTGACCCTATTTTTCCACATCCCTTCCAGCATGGATCATTTCCCTTTTCTGTCATGTTAGCCAATCTGATAGGTATGAGATGATACCTCACATGTTTCAATTGCATTTGTCTAATCAATAGTGCAGCTATTGGGGGCAGCTATGTGGTGGAGCGAATAGAGTGCCAGGCCAGAAGTCAGGAAGTTTCATCTTCCTGAGTTTAAATCTGGCCTCAGACATTTACTAGCTGTGTGACTCCAGGCAAATCACTTAACCCTGTTTGCCCCAGTTTCCTCATCTGTAAAATGAGCTGGAGAAGGAAATGGCAAACCACTCCAGTATCTATTCCAAGAAAACCCCAAATGGGGTCACAGAGTTGGACGTGACTGCAAATGACTGAACAGAAACAACAATAACCAATAGTGATTTGGAGCACTTTTTCATGTTATTATTGATAGCTTTGATTTCTTTCGAAAAATTGCCTGTTCATATCATTTAACCATTTATCAATTGGGGAATGGATCTTATTTTATAAATTTGGCTCCATTCCCTATATATTTGAGAAATTGGGCCTTTATTAGAGAAACTTGCTGTAAATCCCATCCCACCCCCCCAATTTCCTGCTTTCCTTTTAATTTTGGCTGCCTTTGTTTTGTTTGTGCAAAAACTTTTAATTTTGTATAATCAAAATTAGTTATTTTACTTCCTGTGATCCTCTCTATCTCCCGTCTGGTCATAAACTCTTCCCTTATCCATCTGACTTAGATAGATCTAAAATTTTCCATGCTCCTCTAAATTGCTTATGATACTACCTTTCATGTCTAAATCACCTTGCCATTTTGACCTTATCTTGGTATAGATAGTTTTGTTAAATGGTGTGTTCTTACCCTCAAAGCTTGGATCTTTGGGTTTATCAAATACTAGATTACTATGGTCCTTTACTATGGTGTATTGTATACCTAATCTATTTCACGGATCCACCACTCTATTCTTAGCCAATACCAGATTGTTTTGATGATTACCACTTTGTAATGTAGTTTGAAATCTGGTCCTGCTAGGCTGCCTTCCTTCACATTTTTTTCTCACAGATTCCCCTGATATTCTTAAACTTTTGTTCTTCTAGATGAATTTTGTTATTATTTTTTTCTGCTGTTGTTGAGTAGTTCAATTGTGTCTAACTTTTCATGACCCCAGGGACCATAGTATGTCAGTGGAGTTTTCTTGGCAAAGATACTGGAGTGGTTTGCCATTTCCTTCTCCAATGCATTAAGGCAAACGGAGGTTAAGTGACTTGCCCAGCTAGTAAGCGTCTCAGACCGAATTTGAACTCAAGTTTTCCTGATTCAAGGCCCAGTGTTCTATTCCACTAAGCCATCGAGCTGCCTCCATTATATTTTCTAGCTCTATAAAATAATTCTTTGGCAGTTTGAAGCTGAATAAGTAAATTAGTTTGGATAGAATTGTAATTTTTATTACATTGGATCAACCTACTCTTAATTTCTCTAGTTGTTTAGATCCGTCTTTGTGTGAAAAGTGTTTTGTAATTGTGTTCATATAGTCCCTGGGTTTGTCTTGACAGTTATTTTAAATGGAATTTCTCTTTCTAACTCTTCCTGCTGGGTTTTGTTGGTAATATACAGAAATACTGATGATTTATGTGGGTTTATTTTATATCTTGAAACTTTGCTAAAGTTGTTAATTGTTTCAACTACTTTTTTAGTTGATTCTTTAGGGTTCTTTAACTGTATATCATTTTATCTGCAAAGAGTGATAGTTTTGTTTCCTCACGGCCTATTTTTATTCTTTCTTTCTCTTCTCTTATTTCTATAGCTAGCATGTCTAATACAATATTGAATAGTAGTGGTAATAATGGACATCCTTGCTTCACTCCTGATCTTTAAAAAAAAAAAACAAAAAACAAACACACCATTTATTTATTTATTTTGAGGTAATTGGGATTTAGTGACTTGCCCAGGTTCACACAGCCAGCAAGTGTCAAGTGTCTGGTTTGAGACCACATTTGAACTCAGGTCCTCCTGACTGGAGGGCTGGTATTCTACCCACTGTGCCACCTAGCTGCCCCCTACCTCATCCCCATTATGATTAATACTTGCTCTTGGTTTTAGAAAGATATTACTTATTTAAGAAAGGCTTAATTTATGCATTCTAGTGTTTTTAATAGGAATGGGTGTTGTATTTTGTCAAAAGCTTTTCCTGCATCTATTGAGATAATTATATGATTTTTCTTGTTTTTGTTACTGATATGGTCATGTTTACAGATGGGTATGTTTATGTTATTGATATAAGTTATGCTTATGGTTTTCCTAATATTGAACCAGGCCTTCATTCCTAGTATAAATCCCACCTGGTCATAGTGTACTGATCTTTGTCATATATTACTATAATCTCCTTGCTAGTATTTTATTTAAAATTTTTGAGAAATTGGCCTACAGTTTTCTTTGTTTTTGCTCTCTCTGATTTAGGTATCAAAACCATATTTGTGTCATAAAAGGAATTTGGTAGGACTCCTTGTTTACCTATTTTTTCAAATAGTTTATATAGTACTGGGATTGATTGTTCCTTAAATGTTTGGTGGAATTACTTGTAAATCCATCTGGTCCTAGGGATTTTTTCTTAGGAAGCTCACGTATGGCTTGTTCAATTTTTTTTTTCCCCTAAGATAGGATTATTTAAGTATTTTATTTCCTCATGCTAATCTGGGCAATTTATATTTTTATAAATATTCATCCAATTTCATTTAGATTGTCAATCTTATTGGCAATATGATTTGGCAAAATAACTCATAATAATTGTTTTCATTTCATCTTCACTGGTGGTACATTCACGGCTTTCATTTTTGACACTGGTAATTTGGTTTTCTCCTTTTTTAAAAATCAAATTAACCAATGGTTCATCTATTTTATTGATTTTCCCCCCACAAAACTAGCTCCAAGTTCTAGTAGTTCAATGGTTTTTTGATTACTCATGGTCTCTTAACAGTCGAACTGACTTTTCTCAGTCTCTTCTTGACCTCTCTGAAACTTTTGACACTGTTGAACATGTAATCCTCCAAAAGACTTTGTGTTACCTATAAGCCTGTGAGGCTACTCTCTCCTTTTCAGTCTCCTTTTCTGGTTCATCATCCACGTCCCACTGCCTACATGGAGGTGTTTGTTCCTCAAGGCTCTGTGCTTGGTCTTTTTTTTCCTCTATATACTTTCTCCTCGCTGGGTGAAATTATCAGCTTCCATAGATTTAAACATCACCTTTATGCAGGTAACTCTATTTATTTACCTAGCTCTTATCTTTCTGCTGAGCTCCAGCCCTGTGTTGCTAACTACTTGCTCAATATCACCATCTGTATATACCACTGGCATCTAAAACTCAGCATGTTCAAGATATAGCTCATAGTCATCCACTTCCCTCAGGAGTGCCCTTCCTTCAAAATGTCCTATTTCCATTGAGAGCAAAGCCTCCCTTCTAGTCACTCAGATTTTCAGTCCCTGAGTTCTCTTTCTCCCTCATCCCTTATACTCAGTCAAGCGCCAAATCTTGTTGATTCTACCTCTGCAACATTTCTGACATGAACTCATCCCCTTTTTTGTACTCACAATTACAGAGCACAATTAGCAGAGCACAAGCTCTGCTCCTCTGGTCTCTCAAATGCATTACTGCTCTGACAGCCTTCATGTTGGTCTCCCTGCTTTTACTCTCTTCCATTTCTAATCCATCATCCACAGAGATACCAAAACAACCTCCCTAAAGCACAGGTCTGACCGTGTCACCCCTCTGCCTAAAACCCTTCCATGACTCTCTATTACCTCTATGATGAAATATAAACTCCTCAGCCTGGTATTTAAGGCCCTCCATAATCTGATTACATCCCACCTTTTCAGACTTGCTTCACATTACTCACAGAATTAGGGAACTTAAGAATTGGAAGAGACCTCAGCAGTCAACTAATCCAACTTTTACCTATAGAAAGATTTTCCTCACACATTCTACCTTCCAGCCAAAGTGTACTATTAACTTGACAGACCATCTCCTGTTTCCCTCCATTTGCACAAGCCTTGTCCCCTCACTGTAATTCACTCCCTCATTTCTGCCTCTAAAAGAATCTCTCAGTTGTTTCCTCCTCAATGAAGTTTTCCTTCCATCTTTCCAACTGTTAGTGCCCCCTCACTCTTCTAATTACTTTGTACTTAATTATCTATGTATATATTGTAAAAATACAGTACAATATAAGCTCCTTAAGAATAAGGATTGTTTTGTTTTTCTGTTTATAACCCTAGGGCACCTGGTAGGCATTTAAATAAATGTTTGCTGAATTAAACTAGAATGATCAAGGGTAAATAGAATGGTCAAAACTTTAGTATGAAAGAAACCTAGAAAAAGGAAGGAAACAAGTATTTATTAAGTGCCTACTATGTGCCACGCACTAAACAAATATACATATATGAACAGGTATGTATTCCAGAGGATATATGATAAAAGTCTAAAATTTGTTAAATGATATTATAAACATGACACAAATTTGTTTACCAAATCCCCAAGACTAAAACTGGGAGTACCTAAGACTCATGGGAATTTAAAGCTCCCTATTAAATGGTTATCATGTATCAAGGGAT